GTCTTGGTCACTTCATGTATGAACGTAAAATATGGAACAAAATGATTAATTGTGGCCAAAATTCTCGTCAAAGGTCCCAGCCTGTTTTATGTTTCCGCGAGGCCATTAACAAGTTATAGTTCATGACTGCGTGACACTACACAGGAAATTTTTAGTATTGCACATCATCTCTTGTAAACTTAAAAAAGTACCAGCTTTTTAATCGGAAAAATCAGAATTCAATTATATAACTCATTAAATAACACTGACTTTTTATCTTGCTCAAAATGATTCCATGGTCTACAGTCTGTACAACGGTCCTGTTCTGGACACGTAGTATGACGCTCCGGTCACAACAAGATAATCTGTCCTTACCGACGACTATTTTTAAGGATTTCAGATTGTCTCGGTTAGGGGTCAGCAATCAAAGATACGNGATATTTTTTATTAGACGTCACATATTTAAAACAATAAACATTACCATTGTAGTGCTGAAAAATCAGAATTCAATTATATAACACATTAAAAAACACTGTGACTTTTTATCTTGCTCAAAATGATTCCATGGCCTACCTGGAACAGTTTTGTCTTTCACTCCTGACCCAGTCTGTTTTGTTGTCTGCCAAATGCATAATAAGGGTACCATATATAAATGCAGGCCACACCTTCTCGCCATTTTTTCCAGAGGGGAAAAAAGAAAGAAAATAATTTACCATTAACCAAAACTGGCATGACCTAAAAACTGGCTGTATCACTAGTAAAATATTCACTAGGTATAATTAGGGTATGTAATGAACTGTTGTGAATATTTGTCCACAAGTTTCACGTATATAGCGCAGATTTGTGTACAGGTGTATACATTATCTCATCCGAGTCCTTTTCCTCATTTTTCCAGGTACATTAAAGGAGAAGCCTCAATGGAAGAATCGGGAGAGAAACCGTACAAGTGTGATGTCTGTAGTAAGGAATTTTCTCAATCATTCAGTCTACAGAGACACAGACGAGTACATACTGGAGAGAAGCCTTACCAGTGTGATGTCTGTAGTAAGGAATTTTCTCAATCATCTACCTTAC